CTCTGCAACGTTTTTATATCCGATACGACAACTCGACAGTTATCGAGAACATTCTCGGTAAAGTCAGTCGTTTCGATGTCATTTTGCGCACGATAGATGGCGTTACTCTTACCGGCATAATAGTATTAATCTTTTATTATATGAGGTCGCAATCGCGGAAACAATATTTATAGAAGTGATCCGAAATGACGGATTTCTGGCTCCCCTTCTATGTTTAGTCTTTAATATAATTTTTCAATTTTCGAATTCATTTTTCACAAAACTTAATCGAATTACGTTTTAGAAATCTTTCTGTTGTATTTCTTCGCTTGACTGAGGATCCATCCCGATAAATGTGCAGTATTATCTTGGTCAAATGCATACTGGGAGTTCCTAGGAGCCCAATGTTTTTTTGTGTCATTGATGAGTAGGATCTTGGTTAAGCATGCTCTTAGCGTTGGCCTCCAATAGCAAAACTAAATGCCCCACTCTAATTAAGTCACGTAAGCAAAATCTAACTAAGAGCCCTAAGTAGAACTCACAGCAGAAAATAACAAAACATCAAAGCGAAGTTTTAATAAGCCGATCCAACTCACGTTCCGGGGAAATTTCTTACCAAGGAACTGTTCTCGTGGAGCAACACTACAATATTGCAGAAACATTTCATTTAAACTATAAAATTGTAGTGTGAAATAAAGTTTAACTTCCAACGAAATATTGTGCTTACAGATATTATTATTACATTCTTACGTAAAAGCTCAGTAAACAAATTTTTATAAATAGAATTCTAAAGTTTTGTTGTCAAGTTAAGATGTTAATAAGGGATTTAGATTATCGTACCGTTCTGTAGGATTTACAAAAATAGTAAGAATTAAACATTTGGTACAACTAATGACGTCCTACTATATAATACGTCTACCGGACTACAACAAAAACTTTACTATCGTTAAGGTCGTTGTGAGGATAATTTGCAGTAGTAAATGAAAAAACTGAATTAAGCGCATGCAGTGATACCGCTTTTCTCTAAGCTCGTAGCATAATTGCATAGCCGTCAAAACAAAGGCTCAGTACAGTGCCTCCCAGCTCTTACACTACAGAATCGTAGGTAAATAAAATATCTGTGAAATACGTATAGACGTGGTGAATTTATATGGCTTCTTCGCTTCGTAATCTCGTCTACACCGAAATCCGAAGCACAATCATAACGTAGTGTCTACGGCGTAGCTTCGTAGCGCATTGTTTTGAGTCTCTGCGATGGAATCTTTTCAAAAAAGACTTATTTTAATGAATTAGGTTTAGAATTTAGACACAGCCGACGGAATGCCAGGCGGAATGAGAATAAGAAAGCTATCTAAGACGCATTGTTAAATATAAGAAGGATTATAGAAGAAGCAGGATATGATCATTGAGAGTCGTCGAGTGTCACCTTGACGACCCGTCGATAGGACGTCCTAGGACTATCTCCGCGAGTCTCGTGTTGACTACGAAAAATACCCTACTCTGCCCGGGTTCTTACTCCGGGCGGATATGTGACGTCGAGTGAGAGAATCCAAGGGAAGTAGTTTAGTTGGTAGGGTCCTAAAACAACTTGGCAAGCGGCTTATTCCCAACATCTGCAGACCTTCGAGTCCCACATACCCCCCGACCCTTAAAAGCGGGCACGTCGTTGGAGGATCAGCCCGCTCTCCGAAAAAAATAAAGGATTTGGCAATGGCTTATAGAGAATCGCGCGTGGCATAAATATTTTTCGCCAACCTATGTGCCAGTAGCCTTATGGAACTAGCTTGAACCTGACTGGTGCACAAGCTCACGGGGCTCAGCCTGAAAGAATTTTCTAAGCCCTAAAAAGAGCAGTGGTTCACTGAATCTAACACTGGAATGGAATCGTGACTCACTGAGAAGATCCCAGAGAAACCAAATAGCGTTGTAACGGCTGTCATTTTCTCCTAATCAGATATCATGTCTCACAGTCTAAAACCAAAAATAAAATAGAGCTATCAACTCTACGCTCTACAACCAATAAATCAATCCGATTCCCATCCAACACTACAAAGGAGCCTTACAGATGCTTCACGAACTCCTTAAACAATAATTAATTCATCGCGCAACTCCACGCAGTCTTCGCGGAGCTTAAAGTTCCACCTCACAATATTATGTATGAGTTACAACTTTGATGATGTCGGACAAAGTTTTGGGACTCTCCACACCGCAACGAGTCGGTCATTGCATCGTGTTGTGTGTGAAACGCATTCCAGAATTTCATTCGAAACATCCCAAAAGTTTCATATTACCCAGGAAGATTTTTGTTTGAAATCTCTTAAATGACGTTCAAAAGCTACAAAAAGACACGCTAACATAGTAGAGTCAACAAAAAATTAAAAATATTTTTTTTATTAACTTGCTAATCCTGGCCAGGGTATTGATACAAAATGGCCATACTTTTATTATTATTATTGTACACATAATTGATGAACATGACGGCTCACCCGGTGCTACGTGAGTACTGTCAACCGCCTTGAGACATAAGATCTAAGTCTCAATTGTACTGTTTAAATGTTATCCACCATTTCGACCTCGAAAGCGTGACTTCGTGGCATCAAAATGCGGCGGTGGTACTCATTTTAACAATAACAACAAAAGTTGAGATAAATAAGACAAACAGGCACAGTAAGGTCACTCAAGAACTAGCTAATGAGATTCAACTTAATAGATAACTTTCGTTGTCAACCCAAATCTCTATTTAATTCCTTTCATTAACATTAACAGCCTATTTTAATCTATTGTTGGACTTAGATCTCTACCAAGGCAGGCAACGTGATCCAATCAGAGCCCTCGCCTCCATAGTCTGCCCGGTATTCTGCGTATATCACCTTGTTACTGAGCGTCCTAGATGACGTGGCGTGCAACCTCTTTGACAGGATATACAACCTACAACGACTAGGCATAGACTAAGACAGAGACTTGACAGGTAATTCGAAAAGAAATAAAAGAAAAAAAATGGGACGAGGGCGAACTTGACTGCCAGCAGTCAGTATTTTCAATGCCTTCCTAAAAGACGTACACGTAACAGACGACAAAGAACGAACCGACCGTCACTTGGTTCACCAGTTCGTGGTGCCCATTCCAGAAATCGTCTACTTTGGGTTATCGATTCTTCGACAGCTACGTCCGGCCCATTGCCACTTCAGCTTGTTTATGTGTTGAGCTATGTCAGTAGCTTCGATTCTCTGGTGAATGATTAATTACTGGTGGTAGGACCTCTTGTGAGTCCGTGCGGGTAGGTACCACCACCCTGCCTATTTCTGCCATGAAGCAGTAATGCGTGTCGGGTTGAAGGGTAGGGTAGCCGTTATAATTATACTTGATACCTTAGAACTTATATCTCAAGCTGGGTGGCGCATTTATGTTGTAGATGTCTATGGGCTCCAGTAACCACTTAACACCAGGTGGGCTGTAAGCTCGTCCACCCATCTAAGCAATAAAAAAAAATAAGATGCCTTAGAGAGACACTGAGCATAGCTCGTTTTCACAAGCCAACCAAAACAAAATACGTTTTTTCACAAAAATTTAATCCAACGTCCAATGACGAAAGTTTTATGAAATCCGTCGATGCTTCTACTTCGACGTATATTTTCTCTGCTCATTCACAATGCGGTATCGAAAACAAACGGGACGATCTGTCGTCCGTTTTCATTGTTTACAGGCTTCCGTTCAAACGCGACTTATTGTCCCTTGTCTGGGCTAGTTTATACACCATACATTCTGCAACTAGGCCTTTACAGAACGCGTACTGGCATCTATCGAAAGAAACGAATGAATCCTACATTTTTACAACAATCTACAGTTCTAAAGACGAGTATCATATCGATGTGCTTGAAATGTAAGCTTAACTTGTGGGTGAGCCAATAGAATGAAGTTCTTTTGCTTCTTCCACTCTTGACAGAGTGGTCGTGATCGTTAGGTAGCCTTAAAGAGGGCGGATCTGACGTATTTTATGATAATCCACCCTCTTGCTCATTTTCGAGGTCATCCTGCTCCTCTCGTTTAGGGACCTCCCACTGTACTCCTGATTTGGTTGGTCCACCGTAAAGAAGACGCGGGCTGTCGTGCCGTCTTGCCGTCCATCCAACTTCGCACGCCGAGGTGATCCATAGACTGGTCATCTCGTGGTGAAGCATGTCCAAAGAAAGCCAACATCCGAGAATGTACTGTAGAAGACGCTACTTGATGACGAGCTGACGATTAATAACACAATATAAATATTTGATCCTCTATCTAGTATTAAGTGGCTATTAGATTCCATATCACGAGTTTCGTCACCAACCTTGAAACATACAAAGGAGTTTTACATCTATATTATATGACCTATCTGTGTTAAATGGCTGTCCAATATTTGGAACATGTGGTGGCGTTGTAGCCAAATAACAAACTGGTATATACCGTATGGACTCACAAAAATCCCTACCATCCGTAATTGAGATAATTTCTGTGGGTTTCATTTTGATGACACTACAATTTTTTCAACGTTCGTTCATGAGCAAACAGTCCTTTATTATAAATCAGATACTGACAAACAAATAAAAATAAATAATCGGCCATGAAAAAAGATGTGTGGTGTCGTGGGACACCGGATAGGAACGAAGTTCCTTATTATAAAAATATAAATTTTAAGTTCTATACGAGGTATAAAGAAAATAAAACTGGAGGTTTCGCAACAACCCACGGTCATTCGGTAACGTGCGAACTTAGTGGTACACTTCATTCACGGTTGTTTGCATAAGAGTTCGTGTATAGCGCAAACGAACGCTCTGATATCGTGGTCAATGAATGATAAAAATATATGTAATTTTTTGTACGTTATTACAAAGTTAAGTCGTACACTGTGTGCATTACTAATAAAAATCTTACGTTATGGACGTTTTTTTCCGGTTAGGGTACCCCTCCGCATCGTCCCATAAGGAACTTCGTTCCAAAAATGGAATGTTAGTTTTTCGAAAAATTAAGAATTACATTTGTTTCAGATCCTTACACGGCTTCCAAGATCCAATGTAACGAAACGATCCAGCTATCGCATTCGCATCCCCACGTCACAGTGTCGAGCCCCGGCTTCCCTCGTCCGTACCCTGACGACGTGGAGTGCATCACAGAGATCAGGACGCCTCCAGCTCACACTCTGCGCTTGCACTTCGAAGAACTCCTCACCGAACACGAGCCTCAGTAAGTTACCACTTAATCTTTTGATTAAATATCCTGAGACCCGACCAGACCACGCTCTGATTATCACTGAACATTTTTGCCATTATAGGCATTGTCGAAAGGTCACCGATGCTCATAGACATCAGCTATGCAAGGAGCACATCGATCTTGCGTACTGCTGACTGGTCTGCCAAAATCACGTTTGAAGAAGCGAATTGTGGTGGAAAGTACATGAAAGCCGTATGTTGTACATGGTAATAAGATTTACCAACACAGCGGTGCTAAATAGTATGGATGAACTCTACTCCGGTGGTAGGCGGTGCAATTCCTAAAAGGAGATACAATCTCGAGCCTCATCAATGTTTCTGAGCAAGGGCGACCGCTCAAAATGAAGTATGCCCACGCGTCAGCCGTCGTCAGTCAAAAAACATTTGCCAATACTTTTTGAACGATTACCTACATTTCATTTTATCTCCAAAATTTCCCTAGAGTCCTTTACGTCAAATCAGAAATGGTTATAGAAATAAATGTTCGATATTTTTTTGATTCTGCTATTAATTGCTCTCAGATGCGTAATATACATGTACATTTTATCGCGGAATACTCAGAACTTCGCACATTACGAGTTCGTAACTGCCGTTTATGAAGTTTGTGGGCATCAGCAAAGCTAGGGACGCAACCAAGCCAGTCCACCAGAAAAAGTTTCTTTGAATATTTTAAATAGCGTCATCCCATCAGGTGGGCCGTATGCTCGTCTGCCTACAAGGGCAATAAAAAAAAAAATCAATTTCATTTTTAATACACTTTTTTTATCTTGACTTCTTTCTATGTACCTACCCGAATCTTAGAAGATAGTTTTTAAATTTGCACACGTATCAAGAGCCAAATACAATAGAACAATACTTTGTGTTAATATCATGACTAGAATCTCCAAGATGAAAAATAAATAGCTTACATTTTATTTAGGCTTTGTACTAAAAAAAAATTTTAATTCAAAACTATGTTTTTCACCTTCATTCTCCTTTGCAACTAATGTCGGGAAATATTCGATTAACTTAGATAATGTTAGTAAAACATTTAAGATATAGATTATGGGTTTGAGACACAGCTTTTGTTTTCGATTTTAAAAGAAACTGTACAAAACTTAAAGTGTGTGTGCGCTTGGCTTAGATTAGCTATCACAGCCAATTATATATTAATAGCAACCCGCCCTCGCTTCGCTTCGGAAGCTGTAATTTATTATTGACTTCTCCACTATTTAATGGATGTTATTATACATATAAACCTTCCTCTTCAATCACTCTATCTATTTAAAAAAACCGCATCAAAATCCGTTGCGTAGTTTTAAAGATTTCATCATACATAGGGATATAGGGACAGAGAATGCGACTTTGTTTTATACTGTGTAGTGAAGCCAAGATATAGACGTCTAATCTTATACAGTTAACAAAGCACACTTTGGTAATACAGTTGTGTCTATGTCCAAACGAACAACTTAATTTCGCTTAGACGCATAACTGTTATTCTAAATCAAATGAGGCTCTGACATCAAGCATCAAATTAAAAGATTAACTAAATAAAATGTAAATATCAAGCAAAATTCATACGAATTTCAACCCTATAAAAAGTTTTATTTTATTAAAGGATTTTATATACATTACCGTAGAATGCGAACTCATTCAGCGTATCGTAATATTTCTGTGTTTATATTTTATATTTTAATATAGCGCCCGTGTTATTGCCAGATTAACATAATATCACACGCGTTCAAGCCCTAAAAGATATAAAATTTAACGAAATCACAGACCTCAGAAAAAATATAGGTTTATTGCGCAGTAGTCGTGTCGTTAGCGCTGGGCTAATGCACTTCAATGCTTTCTTATCTTTTAAACACAATGTTTAATATTGCTCATGAAATATTTGTACTGTACTGTAAAAACTGAGACCTTAGAAGTTAACCTCAAGGTAGGTAGCAGCATTTACGTTGCAGATGTCTATAGACTTCGGTAAACACTTAACACCGAGTTGGCCATGAGCTCGACCACCCGATTAAGGAATAAAAATAAATAAATAAATTTATATATACATTTGACGTGTTCTCAAAATGCTATTTTAGCGTATGCTAGCGCCAAGTTTACGACGTATCCGATTTTAAGCGAATACCGGAGTTTGTTAGGGGTCATAATCATGAATGCCTTCAGTCACCTCAGACTTTGAGGTCAAACTATCAATTGGTCTGACCAAAAAGTCAAAAGCCAGTGAAATAAAATAGGTGACATTTTGCCTTGAATGCTGCACCAGAATCTAATCATCATAGATAAACACTAATCGTAAATGATTGCTTTGTTCACAGAAAACAGAATAATACATTGAAAACAAATTTCGACCTTATCTTCACTAGTAAAAGCGTTAGTTTACAATAAGCACACATACAAAATTCGCTTACATATCAAATGCAATACATATTCATAGTGCTTGTTTAGGTAATGGCGTAATCGATAAGAGCAAGCGATTTTAAAAATTTATTCCGCTTCAAATTACCTACGTCATAATGTTATAAATTTTATAATGTTCTGTATGGTTAATATTAATTAGTTTTGAGCGTAATTAGACTGACAAGCTTTGGAAGCCACGGAATGCTGGATTGTCCCATAAGCTATTTTTTATTACCTCAGATGAGAAGATCCCGTGTTAAATGGTTACTTAGAGCCCAAAGTCTCCATAAATAAATTCCCGTGGCCCTCCCCNTACCTACGTCATAATGTTATAAATTTTATAATGTTCTGTATGGTTAATATTAATTAGTTTTGAGCGTAATTAGACTGACAAGCTTTGGAAGCCACGGAATGCTGGATTGTCCCATAAGCTATTTTTTATTACCTCAGATGAGAAGATCCCGTGTTAAATGGTTACTTAGAGCCCAAAGTCTCCATAAATAAATTCCCGTGGCCCTCCCCTTATATTAATCATATCAAAACACGGTTGCCTTACTGTTCAGAGCGCACGATCGCTTGGCTGAAGAAAGCATTTTTTTTAATTGCTTAGATGGATGGACTACCTCACAGTGGTGACCTGACACCTGGTGTTAAGTGGTTACTGGAGCCCATAGACATCTACAATGTAAATGCGCCACCCACCTTGAGATATAAGTTCGAAGGCCTCTCTATAGTGACGTCAGTTAGTTATTTGGTCAAATATAGTTAGGATAATGATTAAAAAAACTTTTACTTATGTACGCTCTCGCTTGCAGTTCGTACCAACACAAACTACTTTAATGATAACACTCCCTAATTATACCGGGACCAATTATTCTGGTCGCCGTTGAATTTTGTAACTGACATCGCTTTTAATTTTCATTGTGGATACATTCCAAATAGCTTTGAAAGTTCAATGCAAAACTTGTTCTAAGCTCTAAGTATCTATGCTTTCACTACGACATTTTGTTCGATAAAAAATTGTTTGTTCACTGGCAATAAAAAAAAATAAAAAACATCAAAGATAAAAATCACTGTCACTGCCATCGCCTATCGGCGCCATCTTTTTTTTTGTAGCTAAGATGGGTGGACGTACTTACACAGCCCACCTGGAGCCCATAGACATCTGCAACCAATGCCGCCACCAACCTTGAGTTATGATGTTCTAAGGTATTAGTATAGTTACAACGGCTACCCCACCCTTTAAACCGAAACGCATTACTGCTTCACGGCAGAAATAGGCAGGGTGGTGGTATCTGCCAGCGCGGACTCACGAGAGGTCCTACCACCAGTAATCCTAGCGACACTAAGAGTAACGCCCTCTATCGCTGAATAGTCGAATGAATATAGAAGGATCTAGTAGCACCTAGAACGCTCGTGAGTACAGTGCCATCTATTGTCAGATAGCGGAAACACAATTCTAGAAATGTGTGGAATATTCTCGATAATTCTAGGGATATAGTATCGACTATAACAGCGTTGCAGGGATGTCACGTAGTCAGTCAGTAATCGGAACTACTCGAAGCGAAACAGCGAACAGATCACCTGAAGCGAAGAGGAAGAAGTGAATTGAGAATTTTAAAGTATTTGTGAAATGTTTTAAGTGTTCTAAGTGCAAATACAGTGTTAATAGAGGTAATACACATAAATTACTTATAGATAAGCAACTCAAGCACTCAACAAAAATGTTTACGGGCGTCGGCCACTAGAAGGCTTCGCTTCGGTTAGTTTCTCATTACTCCTGTATATATTAACAGTAACATATTACCTATTCTATATTTTATTTTTAATGAAGGATTTTGTAAATTTTGAAACCGCAAATTGATAAAACTTAATCAATTTGTCTATAGCAAATGATTTTTAATTTTTTTCATTTTCTTTGTTTAGTTATATAATAATTAAATGCCTCAACTTTAACGACATAGAATTTTAGGGACATTCACTACAAGATGTCGCTAGTTTCCATACAAAAAATATTTGTCCGGAGGTATTGCAGTTTCAGAGCCCTGACATTCGTTGTCTGACTTAGGAAGAGTGAAGACGTCTCGGAACTGTCATTGTTTGGTACCGCGCGACTAGGCACCATACGTCCACTACGTCAAAAAAAATGAAGATATTACGCGACATATACCTACATATTCACTACTACACATCGGCTCTAACGCGCCTTATGCTATCTTTATAACAAAAAGGAAGTCAGTCAATCTACCAGTATTTGTAAATAAAAAAACATACTATTATCTAATTTAAATCATTTAGAGAATCGCGACGCAATTCAAGAAATGAGTGTTTGTGTAAATCTGTTTTTGATGGCGCCTTCGTCTCGTTGCTACCTTATCAGTTCTCTGTGTTTATCACCTTCAAACTCAAGTGCTAGGTGTTGCCACTTCTTGATAATGCTTCTGACAACTCAACCGCTTTGTAAGAGAGTGATTTATAACAACAATTATGATAAAAATTTGTCCTGACAATGAAAGTATAACCTACCTTACCTATAGGTGACTCTCCTAAAGGTTTCAAGTGACATTGTCGCCTGATTGCTACAAG